GAATGTGATCTGGGGGCTGGTAGAGGACACCAGCAATGAAGAGAAGTAGTTGTTCAAGAGCCTGGTGACTTGCGACTGAAGAGTGGGTGTTTTAGGGAGGAGATAAAATGACCTGGAAGAGGCGAACAAGGGCAAGGAAGATGCTGAGTACTCTTCTTGAGAAGCCTACAGAAGAAGCAATGTCCTAGGGGAGGGGGAGAGAGAGATTTTCTTGGGGAAGACGTTCTTTACAAAGGGAATTTAAAATTTAAAGGAGATTTTTTAAAAAAAGATCCAGTTCAATATCATCTTCCCCACCTTCCCCAGCAAAATTAAGAACAGCCTCTAGAACACTGCAAGGGACAACTCCAGTGGAGCTCTATTACTAGTATGATAGTATATGATGGTTTATAGAGCAAATAAGAACGTCTCCCAGAATGCTTTGATAAATACCCTCTAATGCTACCTTGGGCGTGCCACTCTCCAACATTCTAGGTAACAGAGGAAGTCGGTACAGCCTCTGTGGAGAGTAACTTGATATGATGGTTAACTTTTTTGTGTTAACTTGGCCAGATTATGGTAGTGCCCATTTGTCTGATCAAACACTAGTCTAGATGTTCCTATGAAGTTATTTTGTAGATGTGATTGATTTTAAGTGAAGGAGATTACCCTCACTAATGCGGGTTGAAGACTTTGAGAGCAAAAACTGAGGTTTCCCACAATAGAAGGAATTCTGCTTTAAGACTGTGAAATAAACTCAGATCTTGGCAGACTGGTTCCTGTTTGCAGAAGAGCCTGGGCAGAGATTCCAGCCAGCAGCTCTGTCCATCTGTGTGTGTGTGTGTGTGTGTGTGTGTTTTGGCGGGGAGGACGGGACAGATAAACCTATGCCACTGAGAACAAGGAGCAGGGCAGTGGGAAAAAATCTGGGATCAGTAAGACTGGGGAGAATGTGGAGAAAGGAAGCAAGTGTCTCCTTGATTCGAGCAGGGGAAACATGACAATGGCCAGAAATGTGACAGATCTGTCACAAGTATGTGAAAACACCCAAGAGTGGCACCCAAGTCTGTTTGCTCACATGATGTGCCCTGTGCCTAGCCCAGAACCTGGAACATACTAAATATTTGTTGGCTGGATTAGAAGTGAAGGTATAAATAAATTAGCCACATAAATTTCTTTTTTAATTCTCCCAGACTGCTAGCCTGCCTCTACAAGAACCCAGACTCAAGACTCCATCATCATCTCTTGCCTGAGTTTCCGGCCTGCCTGCCTGATTTCAGACTTGCCAGCCCACACCACTGTGTGAAGCAATGCCCTGTTTTTAAGCTACAGATGTCCTCAATGCATGAGTGAGATTATGCGTGTGCAAGGGTCAGGAGTACTTCAGAAACAACTCAGTGCCCTTCACTGGAGGATTAGTTGACACGTTATGGCACATCCATGGGTAGAATTTGCAGCCGTAAACAAGAAAGCTCTCTAAATCCTTACATTAAAGTTTTACTCAAGGTAATATGCAGTGAGAAAAGCAAGATGCATGCAGAACAGGATGAATGGATGCTCCCATTTGTATAAAAATGAGGGAGAAGATACAGTAACACAAACACACACACCACTGTCCCCGGAAAGATGTACAAGGAATTGGTGATGTTGGGTAGCATTGGTTGTTTCTGGGGAATAGGAAACTTGTACCTTTGAAATCTGGTAACATACATTATGAAAACAAATTAATTCAAAATGAAATAAAAAGGCACACCATGTAACACTGAAGGCAGGCAGAATCCTGGGTGGCTGTCCGGGACTGCCCACCGGCTTGTGATGTCTCTGCCCTCTAGAGGCGGCCTGGAGAAGAGCTCGGCATGACTGTTCCTGTGGACCCCTCACCAGCCAGCCTCCAGCTGGTCTGGGGGCACAGGCCTGCGAGGGCTGCTCACGGGACTCTTTTCCTCTGGTTCCACGCCTTCCTCAGCTGCCAACAGCGGTCCCCATATTGGCGGCAGTCAACAGCCGCTAGAGTGGGAGGAATCAGAACTTGAATGAACCACAGCTCTACTGGAATCTCTTCGAGTCCCACGTGTTGAAACAGAATTGAGCAGAGCTCACTCTGCTCACTAATGAAATATGGATACTTCATTATTCTGGTCCAAAATACAAAACTAGAAAAGGAAATTGTAGAATGATTTTTTTTTTCATTTACGAGTGTAGCCTTTGCCCTAACAATGAATTACGTAATGAATCCCGAGGTTGGATTTGAAATCCTGGCACACTCTAAACGTGCAGAAAGGACTCTGTCATCACCTGTTCTCCCTTCAGGCTGCAGCTGAAAAGTACAGAAGGTAAACCGTTTTCTAAGCTGTTTGATTTTTCGAAATTTAAATCTGTATTGTAAGTTAACAATTTGTTTCCACCATCACACAGTCATTGTTAATATTTTTCATATTCTCACCAACTAATTTCTTCCCCAAAAGAAACTAAGATGCATTTTCTGATTAGAAAATGATGACATGGCCCCTGGCGTCAGCAACAGAGCGGGGCTGACAGGCTGTCTGCTCCCCTCTGTGCTGGAATCACTGGTGATTCCAGTCTCTTCCCAGCTGCTTGCCGTGCCATCACCTTTACTTCCCCGTACTTTCCACCGCTGAGGACAAGTGCGATCTCTGCCCCCTCACGGTGCTTCTGGGGACGCATGTGTGATTCCCCACAGCCACTCTGACCATCAGGACCCTCTGTGACTACTCAGGGCTCCCTCTGATACCACAAGAACCCCAGAAACCCCACTGCCAACTGCTGCTGCTGTATGGGAACTGGAGAGCAGGGAGCTGTGACTGATCCCGCTGAGTGGAACCCAGAATTAACCAACCTTCTCGCAGAAATAATGCTGTCACCCTGGCTGTCTACTATTACTAATACCGTAATTTCGTACAGAGGTGCTAAACAGGACTTTGGGATCAGTTTGGAAAATTAAACTATGACATTAGCACTATGGCTGTTGGAAAATGCATTCTGAACTTAGACTTAGAAAGGAACACTAGAAAGAAAGAAATAAAGAGAGAGAGGGAGGGTGGGAGGAAGGAAGGAAGGAAGGAAGGAAGGAAGGAAGGAAGGAAGACTTGTAAGCAACTGATATTTGAGCCCAAATAAATGAAGCTTAGAATCACATTAATGTTTAAAAAATCCATTTGAGGCAACGTACACATGAACTATAACATCCATCTTCACCAATGTGTGTATTTTCAGATGTTTTCTCTAGTAGCCCAGAGTAGTTGTGGCAAGAGCGGCCATCCTCCTAGAATGGGGTGCCCGCTGTGGTCAGACTCAGAATGTTTCTTTGTAGTGGTGTAGACAAAGCTACGTGTCCAAGTGCTTTTCTCATGTTATGCCTCCTGCCCCTCTGCTCCAGCCTGACTGCATTTCTTGAAAACACCAAGGTCGTGTCCACCTTTCTGTGCTCCTAGGGTCCGAATATACTTCCCAAGATTCTGGCTTGGCTCTCTGCACAGCTGCATTCGTTCCCTCCCCAGAGACACCACAGCTGTGAACCCAGTTTCAAATAGCCTCCCTTCCAGCACCCTCGCTCTACTTTTATTTTTCTTTAAAACATGTATTTACCTGAAAGACGTATTTATTTGTTTGCTTACTTTTTGCTTCTTCAACTAGAGTGGAAGACTGGTGGGGGGCGAGGAATTTGTTCCCCATCTTCACTACTAAAACCCCAGGTGCCTGGCAAGGCACATAGGTAGACGCATAGTAGACCCAGAACAAAAAATACACGATTTTCAGGAATGAACAGATTAGTCTGCCAGTCTTAACATCACGTCTTCTGTCTTGTCTTGGTCAGATCTGTCAGGCGCTCTCACTGAGCTCTTCAGAGTACACTCTGGTGCAAAGACAAATGCAGTGGTTACAAGTGACTCCTGAATCTGGTTGGAATTCTGGCCCCAGCACTTTCTAGTTTTATGACCTCGAACAAATTATCTCACCTCTCAAAGTCTCCTTCCTTGTCTATAATATTGAAACAACACAAGAATTTTCTTCATAGGGTGTGATGACAATTAAATGGGTTAATGCATAGAAAGCTTTTAGTATGGTGCCTGCATATTTTGTTTAAATATTATTAAACCCCTGGTTTTATAGTTCTGGGGTGTGTGTGTGTCTGTGTGTGTGTGTGTGTGTGTGTGTGTTTTCAGGTACACACTCACATGCTCAGAGCCTTGTTTCTCAGGCAATAAATTTTTCCTTACCTTTTAAAATGCACTTTTTCGGGGTTTGGGGTTGGTTCTTTGGTGGCCGTCTGCTCTAATTTTCTGGCTTCATCTCCGCTGATGGCTAGTCCTGCTCAAATCGCTTGGTATTTTTCATTAATTGCCCAACTGAATAAATAACAAACGGTCCAGTGTTTCCCAAGTGTGGCTGCTGGAATAGCAGGTGCTAGTTTTTTTTTTAAGCATATTTTTAGGGCTTCACTGTTGATTAAGGTCCTCTTGGGATGGGGGCCAGAAACACATATTTTAAGCAATTCCTCCAGATGATTCTTATGCACTGCAGAGTTTGGGAACCACCCAAAGAGGCCCATGGGTACTGGCAGCTGGCGGGAATTTGGTCAGACAGCACATCCATCAGAGCTCCAGGGACGAAGCCATGCGCCCACCTCTCCTCACCGCGTCTCTCCTCTGCAGAGAACTGCCCCCAGGGGTGCTCCGTGCTGTGTGTACCCGATGGGCCTCGGGGTTGGCCTCACTTCCTCACGTGCTGGCCTTGCTTGGCCGAAGAGCCCTGTTTACTTGCAACACTGGTGAACAAGCTCACATCCTTTAACAATGGATACTAATGTCTAATCATCACATTGTACACATCAAATATATTACAGTTTTGTCCATTATACCTAAAAAAAACAAAACAGAACTGGGGAAAATGACCCTGCAGCTCTGCCAACCCTGGCAATCCTTCCTGAAGAAGCCTTCAGGGAGTTCCCCGTCTTTGCCAGCACCTGTCCGCGCACCCAGCCCTGCCCGCTAAGCCATGAGGATCCGCTGGGACCAGGCCCTGGGGTCTGCTTTCACTTCGGTTCAAATTGTGCTTCACCTGGAAGATCCTCCTCATCGTTTATCGTCTGCAGTCGAGGACTTTGTTAGCTTCAGCCCTGCTATATTTTTCTGCCCTGTTATTGCCTCTTTGGGGTATTTTCCAGTGGTCGTGGGGGAGACGTTTGATCATCTGTTAACACTGCTCTCCCCCGCCCCCGTCCCCCCAGACAGCAGTTTTTTTAAACGCTAAGTCTCCTGATGGGAGCAGTTTCATTGCTAGTGATTCATTCTCACCTCAAAGAACTAGTTAACGGCCAGAGCAGGAGAGAAACGTTCAGGTTTCATTTTCATATGCCTTGAGAAGTTCTGCAAGGAGCTTCTCCGTCTAGAAGGCGCAGAGAGGCCTCGGGTCGGGGGCGTATGCTGCAGACCACCCGTGCGTGTTTGCACCTGGGCAAGATTTATGTCCCCAAACCTGGAACTCGGACGGGAGGGGCTCGTGCCTGCAGACACCGACCCAGAGCAGCACATGGCAGTCGAAGTCATGGGACAGGCGGTTTCGAAACTGAGTGAATTTGGCCCCAAGAGGAGGGTCTTAGATTCTAGCCATTACTGACATCAGATAGTCTTGTTCAAAACATCATTATTAAAATAGCCTTTTTGATATCTCTTTCTACTTTGCTTGTAAGTCAGCTCTGGTTCTTTGGAAGGTGCGCTCTGAAGGCAGCACGTACTAGGGCCAGATCTTATTATCACAGGCTGTCCCAGAAAGGCCACTAGGCTTGCTTTGTTTATGGGGCAGCTGGATATGATCAGAAGTAGAAAGGCCAGACGTTCAGGGCCTGAGCTGCTGGGCCATGTCTGACCTTCCAATCCTTTAGAAATAGGAGCTGAAAAATCCAGTCCCATGTTGACTTATCAAATGTATCATTGGCCCTCAAATTCAGACTGCTGTATTTTACTCAAGTTGCTTCATCCAGCTAATCTGGGGAGCTGACTGATGACCAAAGAAGGTCTTGTTATAAAGTGACATTTGTTAATAGAGCTCCGGGCCCCAAAATGGGATTTCTCAGATACTGGAAACAGGGTCACCTAATAATTCTGCCTCTTAGTCACAGACCTATTTAATCTGAGATTTTTTTTTTCAAATTCATTTACTTAAGAAATCAGATCATTCATTACAATTAATTTGGCAAGCAAAGACAGCCAGCTGCTCAAGTGAGATCCCCAATTTTCTAACAAATTGAATAAACACTCATTTGTTTGTATGTTGATATAATTATGGAATTAGCAAAATGGCCTGTTCCTCAGCGTGAGAAGTTGAGATCCAAATTATTTCACAACGGCTTATCTCTGTTGCAAGTTAAATGAAACGGAGAATCTATTCAAACCAAACTTAAAAAAAAATCATTGTTTAAAAAATAAAGACCATTTGGACATAGTTTGAAACCTCAAGTTGTGATTTCCACGTGGGCCTCACTCTCTCTCTCAAATACGGGGCCCACATCCTACTTGAAATGGTGCTGATTCTCCCTGGACCTCTGTTCTCAGGCTGCCTTCCTCTCATTATAAGAATCTTTTGTTTAGTAGGACAAATTTTCATTAAGCGCTTGTATCATATACTCTCTATACATGTTTCCACTATTTGCAACAGCTTTTTGAGGTTCCAGGAATGATGAAAAGAGTTTAAGTTTATGACCATCTCATCACTTAATTAATTTTTTTAGAGGGGGAATAATTAGGTTTATCTTATTTATTTATTATTAATATATTAATTATATAATATATTAATAATAAATAAATTAATAATATAAATAATATATATAATATAATAATAATATAAATAATATAATAATATAAATAATATAATTAATATATTAATTAATATACTGAGGATTGAACCCAGGACCTCGTGCATGCTAGGCACACACTCTACCACCGAGCTATGCCCTCTACCCTCTTCTCGGCATTTAAATGGGAAGAGAACTAATTTGCAGAAACGCCGCCGCCTTTTACGCAGGAGAGTAACTGTGTGCGGCTGGGGAGAAGGGATGTTGATTTTCCTGCTGTCCTCACCCCCACAGAGAGGAAGGCCCCTGAAAACACATCCCGCCCTCCTCCCTGCCTCCATCTGCCTGTGTGCCTGGAAACAAGGACAGACTCACCTGTCTGGAGATAGTGGAGGCAAAGGATGGGCTCCCGTGTGGTTCTTCCTCAGTCTTCCTGCAGCATCTCCATTTCTCCTTCGGTTCACGGTGAGCCGTGAACAACCAGCAATGAAATACCAGAGAGGGAAGTGGGCCTGGAGGCCCAAAGTGCTCTGGTCTGCATGGCCGGGCCGGAGGCAGGCTGGGATTCTGTCTTCCTGGACAGATGAGTGTCTATACCTCTCATCAGGGGAGTGGGCGAGAAAGCTCTAGATTTGGGGGTCGGACAGGAGTTTAGGAAGATCTCAGCACAACATGTAATTGTTTGAGATAATTATTTGGTGGTGTTCTGTAATGTTCAATTAATTCCTGTGTCAGTTTTTTTCCTCAAACTTAGTAGAAAGCAAGAAGAGGAATAATTATATTTCTTAGTTGGAACACCCCTCCCCACCCCAGTCACCAAATCGTCCACTTTATAGCCCTGAAGACTCTGTGTTAAAAGACTACTGGAAATTACTTGTGGTTGCCAAGGGGGCGGGGGGTGGGAAGCGACAGACTGGGATTTCAGAATTTGTAGATACCGACAGGAATATGCAGAATAGATAAACAAGATTATACAATATAGCACAGGGAAATATATACAAGATCTTGTGGTAGCTCACAGCGGAAAAAGAAATGTGACAATGAATATATGTACGTTCATGCATAACTGAAAAATCATGCTCTACACTGGAATTTGACACAACATTGTAAAATGAC